AAATAAATTATTTTGTAAATATTACAATGAAATTTCTTTATTTTTGATACATAAAATATCAATTAAAATCATAAATTGGTAACATCTGAATACAATTCTGTTCATTCTTTTTAAGCAGAAAAATGTCTCCGATTTTAAATTTTAAAAAAATTACTTTTTTTTATTATTTTAGATGTAGCAACAATTAATATAACTTAACTTGATTCATTTTTGAATATAACACAATTCTGAATTTTTATTTAAACCATTACGAAGGTCAAATCTTCTGTGATTGGACCCAGTTTAAGTCTACTGATGCTAACATGCAGTTTTTTAAGTATGTAGTGAAATCTAAACAACACTAATGTGTTGTTAATATGGAAAAAAGTAGATGGAAGACTTATTTAAAGCTGTAATCACCTTCTTCATAATTTATGTAAAAATATTTTTTAAATATTCAAAGTTACTATACACAGTAGAATCACATACTGTAATCATGGATTAATTATTTACCCTGTTTAATGTTATCAGTTTAGGTGAGTCTTAAAGCAATTACAATAAACAGATTCTATCATGTAAAGCTACATTGAGAATTATAATCTCTATACAAAACTATATTAAGTTACAGTAAATCTATCTTTTAATTGAAGATTTTGACACTGCCTGAAAATATTTTTCTTCAAATTCATACAAAGTTTCATGTTTAAAAAAATAAATTCCACTTCTCCGGCAAACATTTCTTGACTTGATTTTACTATGATTATTAGTAATAATCATAATAAATAATAATGACTAATAAGTGCCACCAATTTGGAGTGTAGAAATGCCAGACTGCAAAATGATGAAACATTTCTTTCTATGCTTCAAAATTCTGCAATCCAACACTTGTCGGAACCCGAAAGGATCAGATTAAAGAATGTCAACATGCTCAATGTTATCTTAATTGCACAAGAAAAATGATTTCTGTCATTCTGAACTATCAAACACATCATATACTTATGTGGAATACAGTTTAACATGTCAACAGCCTCAAAAATAAGCAAAAAAAGGCCTTTTGTGTATTGTATAGAATCTATTAAAGCTGCATAATAAAACGTTTTGTGTCATAAAAGGCTGTATTTGGCCTCATATAAGAATACAATATCTTTTGATAGAATACTTAATGTATCTAAGCAACTTAACATAATTTTCAATGGAATTCTCAGAAATATACTCAACACACAAATACTACAGAAATATAGTCAACACACAAATATTCATAACTGTAGTAAAGTACTGCTTTTATAACACTGACTCCTGAAAACTATCATTAATTAAGCAAGACTTGTGAATCAAACTCTGTTTTACTTAGGTTCAGTGTCATAAATTAAGTTTTATTCCAGAATATTTTGAATTACATAACACTACACCAAGATGAAAACAAACAAAATACAGCATATCATAAATCATAATAGAGAATTCCAGCTGTAAAAGTGAGAATCATAAAGGGAAATATCATAAAGCAACTTTCTATTACACTTCCCTTTGCCTAAGCTATGGAGGAAACAAACATACTATTACCGCTTTTGTTTGTCTGTGTGTTTATATTTATCCTATATTTAGTTAGTTTTATATGCCATGCCACTTTTTCAGTGTCATTAAAACACCCCTAAATAATAATCCTCATTAAAATTCAACAAACACAAGTACAGTATTATTGGCCAAAGTAGAATTTTAATCTGCAATCTGGCAAAATAAAAACATAACGTATTTGTTAAGGCAATAATAAACATACTTGGTATTTGATGATATCTGGAACAACACAAGATAACACTTGAAATTTTTAAGATTGTTCTGAGGCTCATCTTAAGCTTACTTGTCACTTTATTAACTAAAATGTCCAATCACATATATTCTGATATTTGATTAGTCAATGCTAACATGTCTGCATACTTTAATATCATTATGGTAATTAAGATTTAATCTCCCAAACCACATTTAATCAAGCTCAGTTGAGAAATAGATTACCATATAAAAAAATTGTAATTTCTGTATATTTTTAACTTTAATGATTTAACTTATTAAATAGCTTATGTTTCTTAAAATATACAGGGCCATAGTTAAAATACTCCTATTCAATGTTATCAGGAGGAATGTGTAACAGTTTAAACTCAACCAAATTTTGTATGTTGACATCTCCAGATATGCGAGAGAGATTTCTGAGAGAAAAAATTTAGTTCCAAAACTCATCATGGGTACATAACCAAACAATTGCCTTAAATAATTGGGCTATTTAATGATTAGATACTAAATAATTTATTACTAGAGATAGATGTTAGGTGCCATCTCTTATCTAAATTAATAATTATAATTTTAATAATTTATTAAATAATTTAGAATCATCTAGAAGAAAAGAACTGATCTGGGGTGGGGCTTGAACCCGAAACTTCTGCTTGTTGTGCAGTATGGTTGCCAATTGCATTACCTGGACCCCAAGCAAGCTTTTGCTTCCAGATGTATATAAATTTAGATATAACCTTATACAGTTAATCTGGAAGCGAAGGCTTGCTCAGGGTTTGGTGGTGCAACTGGTAAGCGCATTGCATAGCAAGCAGAGGTTGCAGGTTCGAGCTCTGCCCCAGATCAGTTCTTTTCTTCCAGATGATTCTAAATTATTTAATAAATTATTAAAATTATAATTATTAATTTAGATAAGAGATGGCACCTAACATCTATCTCTAGTAATAAATTATTTAGTATCTAATCATTAAATAGCCCAATTATTTAAGGCAATTGTTTGGTTATGTACCCATGATGAGTTTTGGAACTAAATTTTTTCTCTCAGAAATCTCTCTCGCATATCTGGAGATGTCAACATACAAAATTTGGTTGAGTTTAAACTGTTACACATTCCTCCTGATAACATTGAATAGGAGTATTTTAACTATGGCCCTGTATATTTTAAGAAACATAAGCTATTTAATAAGTTAAATCATTAAAGTTAAAAATATACAGAAATTACAATTTTTTTATATGGTAATCTATTTCTCAACTGAGCTTGATTAAATGTGGTTTGGGAGATTAAATCTTAATTACCATAATGATATTAAAGTATGCAGACATGTTAGCATTGACTAATCAAATATCAGAATATATGTGATTGGACATTTTAGTTAATAAAGTGACAAGTAAGCTTAAGATGAGCCTCAGAACAATCTTAAAAATTTCAAGTGTTATCTTGTGTTGTTCCAGATATCATCAAATACCAAGTATGTTTATTATTGCCTTAACAAATACGTTATGTTTTTATTTTGCCAGATTGCAGATTAAAATTCTACTTTGGCCAATAATACTGTACTTGTGTTTGTTGAATTTTAATGAGGATTATTATTTAGGGGTGTTTTAATGACACTGAAAAAGTGGCATGGCATATAAAACTAACTAAATATAGGATAAATATAAACACACAGACAAACAAAAGCGGTAATAGTATGTTTGTTTCCTCCATAGCTTAGGCAAAGGGAAGTGTAATAGAAAGTTGCTTTATGATATTTCCCTTTATGATTCTCACTTTTACAGCTGGAATTCTCTATTATGATTTATGATATGCTGTATTTTGTTTGTTTTCATCTTGGTGTAGTGTTATGTAATTCAAAATATTCTGGAATAAAACTTAATTTATGACACTGAACCTAAGTAAAACAGAGTTTGATTCACAAGTCTTGCTTAATTAATGATAGTTTTCAGGAGTCAGTGTTATAAAAGCAGTACTTTACTACAGTTATGAATATTTGTGTGTTGACTATATTTCTGTAGTATTTGTGTGTTGAGTATATTTCTGAGAATTCCATTGAAAATTATGTTAAGTTGCTTAGATACATTAAGTATTCTATCAAAAGATATTGTATTCTTATATGAGGCCAAATACAGCCTTTTATGACACAAAACGTTTTATTATGCAGCTTTAATAGATTCTATACAATACACAAAAGGCCTTTTTTTGCTTATTTTTGAGGCTGTTGACATGTTAAACTGTATTCCACATAAGTATATGATGTGTTTGATAGTTCAGAATGACAGAAATCATTTTTCTTGTGCAATTAAGATAACATTGAGCATGTTGACATTCTTTAATCTGATCCTTTCGGGTTCCGACAAGTGTTGGATTGCAGAATTTTGAAGCATAGAAAGAAATGTTTCATCATTTTGCAGTCTGGCATTTCTACACTCCAAATTGGTGGCACTTATTAGTCATTATTATTTATTATGATTATTACTAATAATCATAGTAAAATCAAGTCAAGAAATGTTTGCCGGAGAAGTGGAATTTATTTTTTTAAACATGAAACTTTGTATGAATTTGAAGAAAAATATTTTCAGGCAGTGTCAAAATCTTCAATTAAAAGATAGATTTACTGTAACTTAATATAGTTTTGTATAGAGATTATAATTCTCAATGTAGCTTTACATGATAGAATCTGTTTATTGTAATTGCTTTAAGACTCACCTAAACTGATAACATTAAACAGGGTAAATAATTAATCCATGATTACAGTATGTGATTCTACTGTGTATAGTAACTTTGAATATTTAAAAAATATTTTTACATAAATTATGAAGAAGGTGATTACAGCTTTAAATAAGTCTTCCATCTACTTTTTTCCATATTAACAACACATTAGTGTTGTTTAGATTTCACTACATACTTAAAAAACTGCATGTTAGCATCAGTAGACTTAAACTGGGTCCAATCACAGAAGATTTGACCTTCGTAATGGTTTAAATAAAAATTCAGAATTGTGTTATATTCAAAAATGAATCAAGTTAAGTTATATTAATTGTTGCTACATCTAAAATAATAAAAAAAAGTAATTTTTTTAAAATTTAAAATCGGAGACATTTTTCTGCTTAAAAAGAATGAACAGAATTGTATTCAGATGTTACCAATTTATGATTTTAATTGATATTTTATGTATCAAAAATAAAGAAATTTCATTGTAATATTTACAAAATAATTTATTTTATTTTTGTTATAAACATAGTTGTTTGGAGGGTTGGGAAAGTCGAATAAAGAAAAGAAGAAGCAATCGCCCATGCCGAGACCGCAGTCTGAAGATTTTTCGGATCAGATGCCAGATGTTGAAAATATTATAAATTTAGCAGATGAAGAAATAAATGCTTTGTTTGAGAAAATGTTGGTAAGTTTTCATTTCCTTTATATTATTTTTAAAACTTCTAAGTTAAGAATTTTCTTATTTCTTTGTTTTATTATTAGTTTCATATAAATGTTTTAAAAAAGGTTAAAAATCAAAAACTGAATTATTTTTGGGATAGAATTAAACTAATTTTTAATTAAGTAAATTAAAGAATTTGGCACAAAGGTTGGTGGTTAAGCCATTAATTCGTGCTATTCAAATCTCAATCCACGTCAATCTTTTCATTCGAGATTTCAAAAATTATTTATAACAGTATATACAGTGACTGTATATACTGTTATAAATAATATATACACTGTATATACAGTAACTGCATATACAGTGATTAAATAAAGAGAAGTAATTAGCTATCTGCTGTGTGATGGTCTACCGCTAAACCGAAAATTTATATATTTTTCGTGCGGATTTACAGAGACTTTATAATATTTATATTTAAAAATTATTTAATTGAATTCAAAATTAATTTGTAATTATTAATTTTAGAACAAGATGGTGGCTTAACTACTTATCTTTAGGTTAAATTATTTAATTAAATTAATGAATATTAGCTTAATTCCAACGTTGAAATAATCTGGGTGTTAGTTATGCTATCAAATCATACTTTAATTTATCTTACATTTAAAGGGTAAAAGTATTTACTGTTTTTATTAAAAATGTGTGATTTTTTTTGTGGGGGAGAGACTAGCTGACCTGGGACGTGGCACAAGATAGACCACCCCAAAACATTTTTTTCAACAGTTCGGATTCAATTCTGCATCTTCCTGAGAGGGAAACCGACACCTTCGTCATCTCAGCCATCCGGTCATCTGGTGTGCTAATTACATTTACATAACACATTGAGAAATTTATTAACTCTCAGTTTATTAACATCTACATCTTTGATATCTGCTGTTATCATTGTGAGATATACACATTAAATTGCTAATGAGTTGTAAATGAAAACTTGATCGTAAAGCTATTAATCATTATAAAAATATTTAATCAAGTTTTAGATAATTAAGTAGATAAATTACTTAAAATTTGATTGTTTTTATGATGATTAATATCTACACTGTTAAGTCTTTGTTACATAATTAAAACAAGAACTTGCAGTTCTGTGAGATTGTTAATTACAATGTTTAATTAAAATGTTCTAATTTTAACTTTATTTATTAATTGTCTGATGTTTCTCATTACTTCTATTGCATTATGCTTCAATAATAATTTATCAATATCTTTAATATAGAAAGTTTGTAAACAAGTTAATATACTTACATTAACTTATTACTAAGTAAATGAATATTATCACAACTTTTTAAATTAATTTTCTTCAGGTTTAACATGCAATTTCTGTCAAAAAAATTATTATTTTATTTTATTTTATGTATTTGATAGAAATTCCATTTTTTTAAATTCCTTTTTTCTGTTTTTTTATGATTTTTTTATTGTCAGCACAATACATTTTTATTTTGATTCCGCTTATTCATCTTAACATATGCATATGTATTTACATTTTGTTTAACTCTGCATCTTTACTTGCCTTATTAACTTGTTTTTTTAATTTAAAATTGTCTTGTGAAAAGTTTTGATTAATTAACAATGAGATAATATACTGTTCTCTTGTATATACTCTACATTCTAACTCATAAAATTAAAAAATGTATTTACTTGGAAGCAGCTAGTCCTATAGAGTTTAAATGAACATTTTTGAAGTTGATGCATGCATTTTCAAGCTTTCAAATGCTTGGAGAATTGAAAAAGGAAGTGCAAATTGCCTAGAAAATGTTAATCTATATTCTACATATTGGCTTTCTGATTGTCTAGTAACAATCATTCTTCTGTACAATTACCTAATGAATACTAACTTATATTTTATCAAATTAATAATTACTGAATAAATATCTTATGATCAATCACCAATTTTTCTTTGCTCAGTTAGATAATTCTATATTATTTTCTGTACTCTTTTTTTTTATTTTTATACTTATCCTACAGTGTTATTTTTGTAAAATTACAATATTCTTATTTGTGTAGAAAGTAAATTTCTTACTGAAACTTCAATGATTTAAAAGTTCTATACAGAGAAATGCTTTGCATATTGTATTCTGTCTGTCCAATTCATGCATAAGATTTTGACATAGATAATTCAGCGGTGCATCAATAATTCAAGAGCCAATATTGTAATTGTACTTTTGTACACCAAAGCAATTTAACATCAGGTTAAAAACATTATATTTCATTTTCACTTATTTAAGCAGTTTCTAAATATTATATTTGACAGGGTTATGTTTTAATGTTAATTTTTTAATAAAGAATTAATTTACATTGTAGGATGATTTGAATTTATCAGAAGAGAAGAAAGAACCTTTAAGAAAGAAGTCTATAAAAATTAAGAAGGATATGTTGTTGATGCAAACACGAGAGAAAGTTTCTGTGAGTATTTTTTCCCTTTTCACATTTTCTTTCTTTAAATATTGTAAGTTAGATTACCACACAACAAAATGTTAAAATACCTCTATTGGGAATTCAATTTTGAATACTTTACCATGGATGATATAGATGAAGATGCTGATGCCCATCCCTTCTGCTAGCTGATTTACATCATAATTATACCCATTATGAGTGTAGTAGAAATCATGATGGATATAACTCATAATTTCACTCATTGTGAGTATAGTTATTACTATACTCATTATTAGTTTAATTACGGTCATCTTGAATGTGTGGTGTGCTAATCAATTGACTTATTAAATATTTGATTTATTGCTTGTGTTACTTTTTTTAAATATTAATTTATAAATGTGTATCATTCTTTCTTTAATTTTAATTTTAATATATAAAATTTATGAAAAAAATCAGATTATATTTGCACATATAATGTAATAGAAGGTGATTATAATAAATATGAACATAATATTGTAAGCATTATATTAAATATTTGCTCATAATTGTTGTTTTCAAATTAAAACTTTATTACAAACTGATATTTATTTTCATGAATTCTCTCAATTCTAATTTGTTACTTTCTAAATAATAAATTGGGACTGAAGGAACAAGTATAATTAGAATTGAAGAAGAAGCTTAATTAGCTGGGATAAGACAAATACAGATTACAGAAAGAAAAAAATCCTTATAAACTCTAAAGTATTTTTATATATTCCAATATATTTTGTAATATATTTATCAATTGTCTTACAATTGTACAGTCTTTACAGTATTGAATCCTGCATTTGCTACTGTATTATATCAACTCTCTTAAGCTTATGTATTGCACTTATATTGCATAAGTTATCTAAATAATTGTAACATCTATCAATCATATAATAGTTATAAATAATTAAAGATATATTTATATTAATGCAGAATAATCAATAAATTTATGAACTGATGATGATTTAGTATTTATATTGTTAATATAATTAATGTATCTGAAAATATTAGTTTATCTTAAGTCTGCTCTGATAAATCAAGATCCTGTTTAAATTAATTGCATAAAAAATTGAGGAAAAAATAAAAAATTGAATTAATGTATTTCAGAAATATGGAAAAAGCAGATGGGACAGTCCTGCCGATTACATCAATTATTTAAGTAACTGGGATGTGAGTCTAGTAAAGTTATTTCAGTGTATGGAATCTCTGCGGATAGCTTTAACCAATAATCCTGTGAGGTAAGTATGAATTATTACTGTTATCTTCTCATTTATTTTACAACAAAATTGACATTTTTGTAACATTTCAGTTGGGTTCAAGAATTTGGTAGTAATGGTCTTGAAAGGGTGTTGTTATTACTTAATTCCTGTTATGGAAAGTAAGTTATTTTCTCTGTTTCTCATTTTATTTTAAATAATGTAAATTAAATTTGTTAAAATCAACTTCTTTTTACTTTATTTAGTCTCAGGAAACTCACTAAAATTGCGCTGAATTTATTTCTTAAGTTACTTGTTTGTTGATTATTTGAAATGATCTCTCAATCAATCTGTCACTTAGTTTACATTATTTTTATTGCATTAATTTACATTCAGTTAATTCAGAATATAAACACAGAAGATCTACTCAGTTTGGGGTTATAAATTTGATTCAGATCACTAAATTTTCAAGAAAAATAATACTTTGATTTTTTTAAACACATTAAATCTTTAAAAACTTATTACTATACTAAAGAATATTATGTAATAATTAGAATTTGGTTATAATTATCATCATCATCATCATCAAATAAATAGGAATTTTTAAACAGTATTTTCATGCTATTGGCCTTAACATATGGCTAATAATGGGCAGTTCTTATCATTTATTGTTACTGATCTTAACCAGTACTTTAAACATTAACTATTCTTATCATTATTTTTCTCATAGTACAATAGTTTAAAAGTGCTGGCATTTTTTATTTCAGTTATGCATTGGAAGAATTACTAGTAATTAATAATATTTTTTATTAACAAATCTTCAAATTATACATTTTATTAAAAAATTGTTTTAACACATTTTAATGGCAAAGTCAATAAAATCAGAATTTCCATAATTGTCTTTTGTACGCACTCCTTTCTTATTTAATGCTGTATTTAGTAATTAACTTAATGATTGATCTTACAAAAATATAATATGCATAATTATAGTAAATAATATGGAAAATGAATGACATTTTTTTCAAAATGTTCAGAAATATGTACTAAATTAGCGTGAAAATGTTTTCACAGTTTGCTCTCTTTCGCACTTCAGAACTGGATAATGTAGTCTAAGAAGGTTAAGTCAGAGTTGACCTTTATTTTGAGGCTGCTCAATATGCAAAAAATGCTAAAAATTCCTCTGGTGATGGTACAATTATAAAAATTATATTAATTAAATTTAATTAATGAAATGAGAGCTTCAAAAAATTAAGATTGACTCTGCCGAGACTACTTTATCCAATTCTGAAATGCGAAAGGAAGAGTTTGCAACTTTTTTATTTTAATTTGGTGGTTTTTTGAACCCGAAGTTTTAATTAATTACTAAATTTTTTAAATTTTATTAAACAAATGCATACAGAACATCTCAAATACCACACGTTGAAAATTATTAGATACAATTTGCAATTCATATTTCATTTTTCTTGCTCTACCTAATTGAATTTTATTTAATTTTTTAGTTTAGATATCATATTAATCTGAAGTGATGTGTCTTTGACTTCATATAATGAAGTAATCTTTAATAGTGAAAATATATATTATGATTTATTTAAAAAGCTTCAAGTCAGTTTAATATTCTTTTTTCTATGTTTGTAAATTTTTCCATTATCAAGCCATTTTTAAGAATCTGTTCACAGAACAATTACAAATTGTATACAGTTTATGGTGCTTTTGAGTGTATTGTTACCCTATTGCATCCTAATCAAAACACCTGTAACATACTCTATTACTAAAAGGATGTTGACATGAAATTTTAATGGCTTGGTGTTATGTTTGGCATGGAGCTGTAGTGTTCGTTTATTTTAATTGTCTGTATTCACACAGAAAATAAGAGAAATTGAAGATCACGGACTTATCAAAGGCTAGAGAGTATGTGGGAAAACAAGTTTGAGTTAAAAGTGCCGAAAGTTTCAACTTAATGATATAGTATGGAAAAACCTATATACTGTGCCTGAAACCTTTACATGGCTTTGTGTTGATGCAGTTCAAATTAGTGTGGTTTTACTGTAGTTTAATATATATTACTCCACTTGTAGTGTATCTTGGCTTAAAAAGTCCACATAATAAACTTAGATATTGATAGAAAGATGAAGCAAGAAGGAATTCTATCTTGGTTAATCTTCTAAACAAAGTATCAAGGTTATATCCTCATAAATGTCTTTAATATTATTTTCTGATGTAGATGTGCTAGTAACCTAAGTTATCAAATAATAATAATTCTTTTGTTATTTGTTTAATAGTAAGACAGTAGACAATAAAATATGTGATGCCAAACTATTATTATACATTATTAACTACAATAATAGCAGAATTATAGCTAGTTAATTGTTAAGAGATGTTTTTATAGGTATATAAATTTAGAAATATTGCATAATGTATGTTTAAGCTGTATTTGTGCTTAGAAAAATTAATTTAATATTTTTATTTTTCAGAGATAATAAATTTGACAAAATTCAGCACGAATGTATTAAGTGCCTAAAAGCAATTATGAATAATACTGTAAGTATTTAAATATTTACAACCATAAATTCAGATTTTTAATTATAAAATATTAATGCTTAACAGTTACTTCAAGAAATCTTTTTGCTATTATCGCAATTTAATGATTTTTCTTTTAAAGCATATATCAAATTAAGTTTTCAGTATGGATCTTATCATTTTATTTGCCGCTTTATAATTTTCTTAATGAATTTTAATCATCAAAACAATTTATTTGATAAAAATTTCATTTGGCTTCTAATTTTCATCAGTTTAAGTAATTTGCTTTTATTTTATTTTCTGATTATTGAGTTGTATTGGAATAAATGTGCAAACAAATGTGCAATAACAAACTGAAATTTAATGCCAAAAAGAAAGGCAAGAGATCTCTCTCTCTCTACAAAAATTCAAAATTCTTCAATGGTACAATCACGTGGTCATTCTGTACATGACCCTTTTGACATCGTAAAACAGCACCAACCATACACAATGACATGCTGTGGGAAGAGACCAAGGCACATTTGCCTCGACTCTGATTAATATAAAAATGTGAATTTAAACTTAGAAAAATTTATTTTAAAAAATTCTCATAAGAGAACAATACATAAAAAATGTCCTCAAACTTCATTCCTTTCACGCATATAAGAAATTAACAGTCTCACAGCTGAGTTGACCTTTCTTTAGCGACTTCTCCTCTGCCTTAAAATGTAAAATGTTAAAATCTTCCCTCTGCCGATGGTGCAATTAATTAAAAAATATATATTTGATTAAAAAAAATTCTGATATGCATGGAAGGGACGAAGTTTGAGGACACTTTTTATGTATTGTCTCTTTTGAGAATTTTATCTAAATTTAAATTTATTTGTCCTGGCAACTAAAATCTAAACCAAAAAATAAAAATATCAAATTCTTCATAGCTTCTAAGACCTTTAGATTACTTTTAATTTATTCAGTTCAATTTTTCAGGTTAATATTAGAAATTAACCTGAAAAATTAAAACACTGAATGAATTATGAATTTCAAAAGCTATAAAATATTTAAAAATTCAGATAATTCTTTAAATATTTTAAAAATAGAAGTTTCAAAATTAATAATGCTCATTTTTATTTATAGATTGCTTTATTGTTTTTTAATGTTCTTTTGCATTATAAAAAGTTGTGTAAATTTATAAAGTTTCAAACATTTTTCTGTTTTCTATATTTGTAAAAGTGTAAATATTTTAGTTAACATATTTCTTAAGTTTTAGAAGTAACTATCCATTCTAATCCAAGAGAAGATATGTTTAATCATTATAGAATATTTTATCATAAAGTACGTGTTTCTATGTAAAAGAAATAAATGATAAAATACATTTTAATTAAGTGTTAATTAAAAATACTATACAGATTTAAATTTGACATATACCAAAAGAACTGCCATATTATTCATCAGCTGTAACGAGGCTAATTTGAAGATAAAGGAATTGGCTACGGGCGGGCAGTTAGGGTGTCATCTACAGCCAAACTGATCTTTCCTTTCAGAATATTCTGAATTTAAATTAACATTAAATTTTTATGTAATTGTTAATTTTATAATTAGTTGGCACACCTGTAGCCAAATTGCTTTATATTTAATCATTAAATTAGCTGCATTATAGCTCAGTGAGTAATCTGGTGGTTTATTTGGCATTAGTAATTAAATTTGGTTGATGTATATGTTATTAGATTGGCATAATTTTCTGAATTTTTAATCCATTTTTGCATTCCAAATTTCTTCAGTCCATTCCCGAATGGCATGTTGAACGTCGTCATCACCAAAAGGGTTTAATATTTTGACACCTTTAATTTTGGGAACAACCCGAAGTCTGATAGTAAATTTAAATTGCTATGTTACCAACCTATGTATGAACCTAAAGATTTAATGAATGTTTTCAGGGCTCCTGAGCCCTGCTTCAGGTTTCCTGCTTTATAACAATGTCATGCAGTGAATTTAACCTAGAGATACATTTGATTAATGGAACATTTTTTTAAAAAAACGTTTATGTTTGGCCTGAAGATCTGGCCGAAGGATCAAAAATGTTAGTCATGATCAAGATAATAAGCTACTGGAGAATTGTTTAGAAGGTATTACAAAGAAGGTTTGGGTTTTTGCATTCTGTGAGTAGAGTACATTTAGAAGAATTGGTAACGTAGCATTTTAATATGTTACCAAAGAACTTTGGTTGGTAACAGTAATTTGAATTTGACAAAATGTCATAGTACCAGATCTCAGCTGAAAGGAGAATGTAGAATAACCTACAAATTCAGTTTCTTAAACATTTTCATTATTTTCTTATTCAATGTGATCTTGCATTATTGCAGTCCAAGAAAAAACTGTTTTTTCTGGCCTCTTACTCTACAAGTATGTTGCTTGTATCCTCATATGGCTTCAAACTACTTCACCAAATTAATCATTTTTCCTTTTCCAGATTGCTGTGTTAATGGAATGAGAAAAATGTTTTTTGTTTAATCTTGACTGCTATTCAATAATGCAACACAACAAATTAAGACTTCATGTGCACAAACTAGATTCACTTGGCTACTAAATGACAATGATCACATATTTCTATCTTCTTGAAACACTGCAGTAGGAGACCTTACTTAGCAACCTGTAAACTAATTATCGTGCTATTTGCTATTTTGATTGATTTTGAGATGGAAAATTTAAATATTAGCGAATGGTTTATTTAAATTATGGGTGGATAAAAGGAAAAATTTTGTTATAAAGAACAGAAACATCACATATACAATAGAGCATCGATTATCCAACCCTCAATTAACCGTCACATCGGTTAACCGGCCGTTCTAGTCGGCAAATTCAAATGTCCGCTAGTAATGTGGCGCTACAATATTTGGATATCTCTTGGCTACTTTAATAGTATTTTTACGTGTTTTAGTGGCAACATGGCTCGACCATGAAAGGGAGTCAGTATTTAAACGAGGCTTAATTTTCTAATTTTTAACGATACAATAGCAACAATTATTATTTTAAAAAAGTTTTTGTTAGGCTTAACATCGATGAAAATTCAATGCAAAGTATGTTAATAGTGATATACTAATATACTAATTACATGAGATATACTAATATACTATACTAATAATGTATTTTTTCATATTTTTCAGTTATCCGACCAACCCCAGTCCCCAATTGAGTCGGATAATCTACTGTATAATATTAAAGTTTAAGTGTTTTGTAAATTTAAGGGTATTTAGACAATTGTAAACTTATTAAATTAATAAATTCAAATAATTTTTTAAAATTATTATNTTTACTTAAATGTCTCTTGAATTGATTCCGAATCGGATCTCATACGCGTGTTAATCCGCGTATAATAAGACTGATTAACTGGTGTCAAGGAATCCTGACGAACATCGGAACTTCGCCGTTCGGATCAATTTTGATAACGCTCTCCTATTAAAGCTAGAGAACTGGTCTTACCGACTAGTGCCCGTAAGTGGCGTAGATTGAGACCTACGTCCTTGGCTACTCTCACAATATCTCCAAATAAAGCAGTTTTTCTTGATGATGGATTTCTGAAAATTGATAGTTCAAATCTACTGCTTGATAATTGCATTACCAAATCTTTACAGGAATTTTTAATCTGGATTGTTTCAAGGATTTCTAAATAGCATTTGATTCGGCCATCCTACCATATTTTAAATCTTTTTATTAACCAAAATTATTTAATTCAAAATTCATCATTATTAAAATCCAAAAAATATTTAATCAGCAATTTTTTGGCAGTCATTCTAGCCATTCTTGGCTTACGGTTAGCCGAGAATAACTAGAATAAGACTGCCGAGTTCTGTCTGCTTTTGTGATTTATCGCATTATAATTTAATTAGTTTATTATTGATATTTATGTATAATATTTAATTAACTAAAATTTACTGCTGATATTTTAAAATAAGTTGATTTAATAAAAATATATATTCGAGAAAGCACAATAAAAAGAACTAGAATTTTGGAGGCTCGGGATCGGAAGCATAATATCCGATCAAAGTCTGGCCAACATATAAATAATGATACGTATGACAAGCATTAATTGCCAATTAACCTGTCGGTGATTAACTACTTAATTATTAATTAATCCATTAGTACTTAATTTAAAGTGTTTGCATGTTTAATTACAGATAAATAATTATTGCGTCTTGTTTAACCTATTAATGTTTTCCTTTATATTTTATTTTATAATTGAATGATGATACTCATTTATAATTACAAATTTTTGTTTCATAACAGTTTGAATTATCAAATAAGAAAATGTCTGGAAAAGAAAAGGATAAGAAGGCTAACATCGTAAGTTTAACACAAATAAATTTGGTATTGCTTCTAATAATATATGGTAGTCCAAAAATCAGTTAACTGAGATAATAATTTAAATATACATGGAAGCAGTTAAGCAAATAGTAATGTGTATCTGTTCCATACCTCAGTTTTAATCATTCTTAAGAAAAATATGTCTTTGTTAACTGGCTTTTGGGCCATCATGTGTATAAAATTTGAGTCAAATAATATTGAAGTTCAGATTAAAATGAAATCAATAATTTTATCTCAGTTTGAAATTCTTATAGCATTATTACTATTATATGTATGCTAATGAAATTATAATTTTGTTATAATATTATAATAAAATTATAATTGTTACTCATTCAATAAAGCATGTTATACAAATAGTACAATAATTTTCGAATTTTTATATTAAAATTATATTTTTATTTATTTCTGAAGTCACGAAAAAGTTTTAGAAGCCATTACGGTGAATGGCGAGTTGGTAGGAAAGGAAAGATTTGCTCCAATCATTCAGGGTCTTAGAGCCAAAGATAATGATGGATTAAGGGTAAAATTAATCTTCAAAGTGTTTCTTTAAAATTTAAAGAATTTATTTTTGATCAAAGGTGATTATTTTTGTTTAGGTTGCCTGTATACAACTTATTAATGCTCTCCTTAGTTCACCGGATGATTTAGATTTCAGATTACACTTAAGGAATGAATTCATGCGTTCCGGTCTTGCAGATGTCTTGGAGGTAATTGAAAAATTATGGCTATATAAATTTTTATTTTAACTTTTATCATTAATTTAGTTTTAATTGAATAAAATTTTACAAATAGAATTTTCAAGGCGAAGAAAGTAAGAATCAAGAATTAAGTATTCAGTTGAAAGTATTTCAAGATCATAAAGAAGAGGATTTTGATGAATTTTCTCAGAGATATGATAATGTTCGTCTAGAGTTTGAGTATCCTTTTTTATATAATAATAGTAATCAATCGTACAAAAATAATCACTTAATCATAGGGAATTTGCATTAATTTTCTTGTTTTATATACAGTCAAATCTCATTATAATACACTCCTTTATAGTGCCACCCTCATAAACTGTTAATAAGTAATTGCAAACAGACTTTACTAATAAAAATAAATAGGCTATTCAGCAGTGTCTGTAAATTACTAAATGCACAATTTTATGTTTAGAACAATATTGTCATTGCCAAATCACAAGATTACCAAACTCAAACTTGAGTAGACCATATTACTGTATATATAATTTTTATTATTTAACACCACACTTGAGCTAGTGTCAATTTCAGTGGAAAACATTGAGAATTGACTGTAGTTATTTTATAGATATGTATCTAAAATAAAACAAGCATATATAGTAGAGTCAAACTTTTGCTTTAGGTTTATTGCATGGTACAGGAATTCTTGCAGCACACTGCCTTTTAAGTAAGCTTCTGCACAGATATATATCTGCTAACACACATACACTTGTCAAAGAATTCCTATAAGCCATTTTTTTGTAATATTGTTACTTGTTTTCATTGATGCAGTTTCCATTTACTGCTCTGAATCTGCATTCCCATCATTTCTCTTTTATTTTAATGAACAAATAAGTCTGTGAGAACAAAATTGAGGGAATAAGGAGATTGAGAAAGTACTGTTATGATCTTTTAGGTCAGATATTTACCAATTGGGAATAACTGATGAAAGCAGTGACGATTGACATCACAAAAATCGGCTTCTGGTACTACTCTGATTCTCAATACTTTTAGCATCAAGACATAATGTAATAAATCAGTATTCTGCTTTGAAGCTTGATACATCTGTAGATACAAGTTCTGAGTCTGTAGCATGGGCATCCATTTTCAAATTTATGACATATTAAAATATTTTTTTTTTAATCTAATTATATTTACCAATGATTAAATTTCTCCTTAATTGCCAAAAGTGATCCCATCGAATGCTTCGAACTGATTAAACAGACCGTCATGGAGACTTCTGCAGAACCTTATTTTCTGTCTATTCTCCAACATCTTCTATGTATCAGAGATGATGTCACAGTGAGGTAATATTTCAAATTCAGAAAATTATTTAATTCAGAAATGTTTTAATGCTTTAAAATTAATTTTTATTAACTCAACTTAAAGATTTAAATCTATGATGCACTAACTGATTAAATTATTTTAATATTCTAAATTTCCATAGTTTCTGTTTTGTTTTAGGCCCGCCTACTACAAATTAATTGAAGAATGCATTTCGCAGATAGTTCTACATAAAAGTGGAGTAGATCCAGATTTCAGACATACAAAACGATTCAAAATAGATGTAGAACCTTTAATAGGTAATTAGATTGATTCATATATTTTAAAATCAATTTTAATTTTAAAAATTTGCTCATAATAATATTTTTTTGTTAATAAATTTGATAATTAATACGGGAATATTTATACAAAGTAAATTATAAAATAATAATTTTGTGACTTTTACAGAGAATTTAGTTGAGAAATCTAAACTAGAAGAAGTGCGGGCCACAGGTGAATTGACAAAAAAGTTGGAAGAGGCACTGACGGCCAAAGAGGAGTTCGAAGCCAAACTTGCTCAAGCTGAGATAAGGCTAAAAGAATATGAAACTGGAAAAATACCTGTACGTACTAAATAACTAAGTGCTAATTATTTGAATATACTCATATTTTATCTTTTGTTGCAAGATAATTAATAATTTTTAATCTAAAGGTGTCATCGTCTTTACCGGGATCCATCCCGCCTCCTCCACCTCCACCTCCGCCGCCTCCTTTTGGTGGAAGCGGAGCCATTCCTCCACCTCCTCCACCTCCGCCACCACTGTTTGGTGGACCTGGAGGCATTCCTCCTCCACCACCACTTCCCGGTTCTGGAATACCCCCGCCTCCACCTCCTCCTCCTGGAAGCGGAACCATTCCTCCACCTCCTCCACCTCCGCCACCACCGTTTGGTGGACCTGGAGGCATTCCTCCTCCACCACCACTTCCCGGTTCTGGAATACCCCCGCCTCCACCTCCTCCTCCTGGATCGGGATTTATTCCTCCTCCTCCACCACCTTTTCCCGGTGCACCCCTACCACCACCAATGCCGTCACTTTCCACAGAAAGGAAACTGCCTTACAACTTGCAACCCAAACAAAAATATGAATTAGATACCCAAATAAAGCGCATAAATTGGGATCCGGTATTACTTCATTTGTTCAATTCTGTTTTATTTATTAAGTCTAAAGCTAATATTTAGAAAATTTTACTGTCAGATTGATGTACAGAAGCTTACAGAGAAAGCATTTTGGGTGAAAGTCCAAGAAGAAAAATTAGCCAGTGAAGATATTTTTGATGAAATTTCATGTAGATTTTCTTCGGTTCCAAGAAGTAAGTTTTTATTTTATTGTGTGTGGTATTTTTTGATTTTATTTTGATTCTTCTTCTCCGGTTTTTTATTTTATTTTTTGAAATTCTATTAATTTTATGACCGATGATTTGAACTGATAATATTGACCAATTATCTTCTGTAAAATAAATTAAAAATTGCTATTTCGTATTAATTAATTATAAATGTCAAATTTAATTTTCTGAAATTAATGAATCTTTTATTCATATTTTTCAGTCAAAAATGATGAGAAACCAAAGGAGAAAAAAGTATCTAAAAAAATTAAGGAACTTAAAGTTCTTGATGCAAAATCCGCTCAGAACTTAAGTATGTGTTTTAATTAATAATTTTAATTTATTTAAATTATTGAATAATTTAAACCTGCTATTATTTTCCTTGAAATCTCTATTAAAAATACAGTAAATTCAAATATTTTTGTATAAAGTTGGGCAATTTGAAACTGTAAAAGATAAAGTAATGTGTAGTTAACTGATATCTGCATTTCACCAATTTCTTATTTATGAAATTGTCATATGTTTCAAGTTTTAGTAACATTTACTTCTAGACAGAGACAATGTTTAGCTATGTTTTTATGGTGATTAAGTGTAGAACATACACAAATTTATATTTAGTTTAAAAACTTGAAAGAAAATAAAGAAAAATAAATGTGTATTGTGAAAGATTATAGACTACTCTGTACACCAGAAATATACAATAAATTAGTAAGTTTTTTTTAGTAGGACAAATTTAAACTAGTTAAATTTCCTAGTGTTTAAATTTTAAAAATTGGACTACAGTGTAAAAACTGATACATAACAATATACTATATGAACCATAAACTAATTAGGCAATGTATGTATTTTACAGATGTCAATCTTCTCACATTTACATTTTATCTTCGTTATTATCATTAAAACTCTCACAATTTGACAATTAGCAACTTTGAATCAAAGATATTTGTTTCAAACATATCTTGTTTAAATTGTATTTTAGGGAAATTAAAATTTAATATTTATATAAGATATGAACTAATTTTACTGTCATAAATAATATCTGTAAAATATTTAGTGTGTGCTTTTTTATTTTATGAGGTTTAAAATCAATTTGTTTTTTCTTGTAGTGATATTGTTAGGTTCGGTCAAAATGTCATCAGAAGAAATGAAGGAATACATAATAACCATGAATGAAGAACACATCACTGAAGCCATGTTGCAGCAACTAATACGTTACATGCCAGAACCTGACCAGTTGAAAAAACTGGAAAAATTTGGGGACCAATTTAATGATCTGGCGGAGGCAGAACAGTTTGCCATTACGGTATTTTTTTAAAATTAATTGTCTGCTTTTTTGGCACAAAATTTCTTTACTGATGACATCTGTACAATTTTTCTGCAGCTTGGAAGCATAAAGAGATTGGTGCCGAGACTGAAATCTCTGAGTTTCAAATTAAAGTATTCTGAATTAGTACAAGATATCAAACCTGTGAGTATTTTAAAATAACAGTACATATTTTCATACCAGGTCTTTCAAAATTAATTCTACCATTTTAAATTACTGTAATTATTTTAATTGTTATCCAAGAAGCTTGCTATGTACATCAATTGATAGAGTAACTGTTCATTTACTATCTGCATTCAAACGTCTCATTGTCTGCTACCTCTAGGAAACACTAGAAATGAAAATGGTGACTCCATGAGAGAAGGCATTTTGTGTTTTATGAAGGTGAAAACCCATTCTATAAAGTCAGAATTACTCATCATTGTGCAATCTGTAGGAGCTGCAAACAGCTATAGAATCATGGCTGCTGTGTGGAGGAGGGACAACAGATATACTGTAGTGTAGAAAGAATTTGAGTATTGGTTGGACGTGTGCCATGTGGCACAAGGTATATGCATTGAGAAATTGTAATGGACAAATGTGAATTTTGGCTGTTTTCCAGTGTTTAATGTACATTAAGTAATTGTGTTTTAATAATTAAGATAATTACAATAATAGAATGGTAGCATTCTTTTTGGAAGACACTATATTAATTACAAAAATAAATTTCCTGATTTAGTTTACATAACAGTCAAATACACATATAAAAATTATTCACCATGCTTCTGTTATTTTGAAAATAAAATACAATCCAACTATTGCCGTTTGTTATCGGGCTAGATATTGGCTATCAAACTAATACATTATGAAACAATTATTAAATTTATTAAGAGATGGCACCTAACGTCTTCCTCTACTACCAAATTGTTTCATAAAGTATTAATTTGATAGCCAATATCTAGCCTGATAACATACAGCATTAGTTGGATTGTAGTTTATAATGTATCGGGATGTAATGTTTTTGAAAATAAAATAATTGCATACAAGTAATCAATTCAAATCAGAATTGATTTAGTGGCTTGAAATTAGAATAAAATTAAAACTTGTAAAATCTTTCAATCAGTCTTTATTTGAATAAACTAAGATGATGTACTTTCTCTTATGCAAAAATTTTTTATTTCAGGATGTGGTGGCTGCCACAGCTGCTTGTGAAGAAGTCAAAAACAGTAAAAAGTTCTCTAGAATTCTAGAATTGGTATTACTAATTGGAAATTATATGAATTCTGGATCTAGGAAAGGACAAGCTTTTGGCTTTCAGATAAATTTCCTTACAAAGGTAGGTGGTTCTTTTAATATTAATAAATAATTATTTGTTGGGATTTTTCTAGTCTACAAAATTTGAAGACTATAATTTTATTCTGTGATATGGAATGTAACGATATGTAATTTCATAAATTAATTATTTACAAATTAAAACAGAATCAGTTTTGGCAAAATTGATTATTAAGAACTTTGGTACAAACAAAATTAGTATTCCTTCTGTAAGAGTTGATATACAGTACATAAAATTTTATTTCATTGTAATTTTAAGAACTTTTTGCCAAATTTAATGTAATGTACACTGAAAATTTAACAAAATATTTACACAAACTTACAGTTTAGAAAGGTCAAGCTTGGAGTCCATCCATACACCTTTCTTTTTCTTAATATGAAATCACACAGTCCACACTTTCTTCTTTTCCTATTTGCTTTGGTAGATCACTTCTATGTTGAGAGATGCATTCTTTCATCTCTTTGTCTGGTCTTTTTTGACTCAGTAGATCCGGCCCTTTTAAATAGGCCCACAGTTTAGCACATAATTGTCCAGTTCCTTTATGTATCAGTGCATTCAGCCAATCACTATGCTTGGGAGCTACTATAAGGCTGTTTTGACCCAGACATTGTAAATATAGAGTGGTGGTTCCATTACATCTTTACAGTAGTGATTTCTGCAAGCAACTGGCCTGTCTGGTTTGAGTGGTGTTAGCTGACCAAGGTAATGGTGATATAGAGAAAGGCCATGGTTCTGAAGTTATCATTTTGTACTGCAAAATGTCAAATGCATACAATTGCAGGATATAAATTACAAAAATTTTTGCATCAAGTTGTCCGAATCTAATTGAAAATATCACAGCAATAAGCATCTTTTTTGTAATGTAAAAAAGGGCTGACGAATTTACAATTTAATAAAACATAACAGCGTTAGTCTCTGTTATGTTTTATTAAAGTAAAATTGGACATGACAAAAAAGTATGTCTTCACTTTTTGTCATGTCCAATCACCAGGAACAACTATCTTCCACTGCAGAGATGACCTTTCTTTAGAGGCTACACCTCTGCAAAAAAAATGCAAAACAGTCTAAAAGTTCACAGGTGACAATCCCAGGTGACATTTTAGACTGTTTTGCATTTTTTTGCAGAGGCGTAGCCTCTAAAGAAAGGTCATCTCTGCAGTGGAAGATAGTTGTTCCTGGTGATTGGACATGACAAAAAAAAATGAAGACATTTTTATTCTCTGTTATGTTTTATTAAATATTTTTTGTCACTTTCTTCACATTTTAAATACTTGAGCAAGTATTTATAAATTATCACTTCATAAAACCCAATTTTTGATTAAAGCCAGATGATCTGCCAAATTATCAAGCTATAATAAGGCTAAGTTAATAATTAGATACAACCTTTATAGTTATATCTAAATTAAATAATAGCTTTGGAAGCATAGATTGGACAGAAGACCAGATAGCAAAACTGGCAATGCATCTGCACAGTAAGTGGAAGTTGTGGGTTCAAGTCCCAGTCTGGACTGATTCTTTTCATCCAGAAATTCTAAATTAAAATTAATTTATTATAATTATTACTGTATTTTTGCAGAATGACCAATATGATGTATAAAAACAGGAGACCAGCATGCCGGTTAACCTGTGACGAAAATATAAAATTAATCAGATCTAACAAAACTAGTTGTTAATTAAACATTAAAGAAAACATATTTCCAAGTACAATAAAATAACATTCTAATTTGACTGACTTAAAATCAGGAAGAGCGTTTTTGTTTACAAGACAATAAAACAATTAACGACTTGTTGTTGTTGTAGATCAGTCTGTGGGCTACTCCAATCTTAAAAATAACATCTTTCTCTCAAATTTCACACAAAGCAGATGTTAATTTGTATAAGCTGAGATAATTTATTTTATTTTTTAATTTATATTGAGTTTCTTAAATTTAATATGTTTATTTTTGTGTATTTGAATAAAATAGGCATAAGAAAAAGCATTTTCAGAATTCCATGGATATTTTACTTGGTTAGACAAAATGAAGAAATTAAACATAATAGTCATAGTTTTTGATGTAATTCTGACAGTTTCACAGTTTTAGAATAAAAACTTGTTCATTTTTATGTGATGTAACTCATTTGTTTTTTTTAATGTGCTCTCTAGAGAGGGAGCTATAACCTCGCTTAAACTGGCATGCCAGCTTTTACTATGCAGAAATATCTGATTTCCTGGTCTCCCCGGAAGACCAGCATGCCGGTCATTCCACAAAAATACAGTAAATTTATCACTAGAATGTGGCTTAATTACCAACCTGTATACAAATTACAAGTAATTAGTATCTGATTATTAATTTGGTCTTATTATAGTCCAATAATTTGGAAGATTGACTGGCTTTGAGCAAATATATTTTTATGTGAGACTTTTTTTGACTATAATTTCTCATTTAATTATAATATGCATAATAATAAATTATATTAAGAAAATATGGAGAATTTGTTTTTTATTTAGTGTTTTTGTCATAAAATTACAAACTATTAATTTAATAGGTTATTTTTTAATATTGAGAAATTGGTGACATTGTTATTTTATATTTTAACAAGCAATCATTTAAATTAGATTAAATTTTTTTTAATTAATTATAATAAAGATAAAATAGGGAGTCTCCATTATGGCCTACCAAATTTGGACCATTATTTTGACCATCACCAATTTTTTCCAAGAAATGACTAAACTCTCACCTGGAGTCTACATTCATGGTGGCCAAACTTAGTTATAAAGATGTTTATATGTACCAAAGTTTTATTCTTCAAATAACAATATTTAAAGAAATTAAAGAGATATGCTTTAATTAGAATAAATGTAAAAAAGCTGATTGGAAAAAAAGGATAATTGGGCAATAAACCAATAGAATGATTGAAAAAGACAGGTGATAAATCAAAATTGCATGATACATTATATGCCAGATGATTTCGCCTTACATGCCACAGGTTTGCCACCCATTCTAGAACCTCACTGCAGCTGCCATGTTTATGTCTGTTTATACATAACCATTGTATAAAATACCAGTTTCAGTAGAGAATATGGCTCTTGTATTTCTGGGCCCTTAGTCTCAAGTTTTTCATGTTACAACTCCCAATGTGTTGAAGGTGTCACATGGTGCCATCTCACACTCTGACGTCAAATCGGTAGTCTCCAGTTATAACTCACGTGCTTTCCCATCTCACCATGCAAGTTGCTACTCACGTTGAGTTGAGCATGCGAAATCGCTATACGAAAGTGAAAATGGCTGAGAGATACGCTGTTCTGATTGCAATCGAAGCGTTAGAAAGAGCCAAAAGAGTTGTTTAAGAAAACAACAAATTTTTTGAACTTGAGTAGATGCCATTTCTTTTCGTGTCAAGTCAACACTAATTAAAAAAATTTTAATTCATAATTGATAAAATTATACAGCAAATTTTTCTAAAAATAAAAAGAAGTATCTAATTCATGGAAAAAGAGAATTAAAATGATAGTAAATTATATGTATAAATTATTAAGAGCATAGACACTATATTAAGATTATTTATTATTCCGAACTATTAAGTTCTGATTAATAAATAACCATAATAAACAAAACAATTTAAGAAATAGATCGATCAAGGAAGAAAACTATATAAAAAAAAGGATTAAATTAAAATACTTTTTCTATTACACAACGGATTTTTTAGCTTCAATATACAATTAATTTTTCAGCTAATTCTTCCACAAGTCGAATTGTATTTTTTCTTGTAAATTTGTTGTCGAATTTTCCACTGTCATTTTCTTATTATTTTCTATATATGTTACTAATATTTTTTTTTTGTTCTTTTTGTTTATTTTTTAAAATAAAACATTGGAGGTTTCCATTTTGTTTATTGCTATAAGACAAAACTTTTAACTATAACACGTGTAAACTAATTCACGTTGATTTGTTTACAACTTGTGTTACAGTTAAGTTGATTGATCGAATGATTATAGTTGCAAACTTGGATGCATTGTAAATAATCCCATCATGCTTAACGACACGTAAACAAGTGAATATGACCTACTTCCGCTCGCCTTTCGAGTTCGCTCGATGGGTCTAACTCGAGACTACCGATTATGCGAGTCATAGTAACACGAGTGAGTTCAATGACGTTAATTTGAGGACAACGCGAAAAACTCGAGACTAAGGGCCCTGGTAGGAAATATATGGCTCCTGTCTCTATAAGTTTAGTCCTATGCTAGGTGATAGCTTAGTCATTTCTTGGACAAAAAAAATTGAAGTTGGTCAAAATCGTAGTCCATATTTAATGGGCTTAATGGAGCCTCCTACCTTACACAAAATTTTATAATAAGTAACTCTTTATCATTTGTTGTTTTAATAATTAAAATTAGTTAATTTGATATTGAAAGAGATGTAAATTAAATATGTGTGAACAGGATGGCCTCCTCTGGTCAGATCTGACACCACCTATGATTTTTCGGCTCATGGGAACCTTCAAATTGCATGAGCAGCCATGTATGCAAGACTTTTATGGAATAATGGATGAAGGAGGGAAATTTTAGAGAGGCAGGAAGCCCAAAAGTAATGCAGTCCACTATGCATGTAATCGTTAAACAAGAAATATTTATTTTTTAAGTTTATAAAAAAAATTTACAAAGGGACTAGAATTAGTGGGAGAGTCTAATCCTAAAAATATGCCAAAGAGAGAGAGAGAGAGAGAGAGAGTTTACAGTTGCATATATGTGTTGATAAATACACAAATCAAAAGGTTCAATTGGACATCCGAATTGTGGATTGAAGGCTTGGGGATGATGAGTCTTCTAAATAGTCCTCAATAATAAAGTTGGATGGCCTAGGTTCTGTAAAAATATTAGGGTTTCGAGAAGATCAGTGGAGTATGGCAGGATGAGCACACCTTTTGATCTTCTTTCCCCGCTATTTTTATTTGGGGTTATCTCCCTGCTATTTAGATGACCATATTTGGTAAGGTCATGGAGCTGGTTGTTAGTCCATTCCCCGATTTTTGATGAGACTTCCTCCGACAAATAGTTTTTGTTTCTTTTTAATGTGTCACCCATGAAGGAAGTGTTATTGGTTAAAATTAATTACTTCTCCCTATGAGTTTTTTGAATGCAAATTAAATAAGACTAAGATCGTCAAAATTATAAAAACTAGATTGGATTCTCACGTATGCATTTAATAAATGTAGAATTCTTATCTAACAGTTTAATTTATTTTGTAGCAATTCATTACTGCATTTGATACAATGTGTAATTATATTTGCTTAAAATAGTATTTTTTTTTTAGTTAACTCCAAATTACTTTAATTATGTTTTATTATAAGTGAATTCTTCTTTATTAAAAGACACTGTCGTTCATTAATTTCGATTAAAAGTATGTAATAAAAATATATATATTGTAAAACAATTAAAGGCAACAGTTGTACAAAAATTTACATATATAATTGATTTTTCATACATTAATTGTTAGTGCTTAGTGTACTTAGTGTTGAACAGTTCTGACTGTTCTAAGGACATAATTTAATTAACTCTTATCGTTTCTAGATAAAAAATACGAAGGCGTCGGATGGGAAGACCACCCTGATGCACTTCCTGGCCCAGATCGTGGAAAACAAATATCCCGACATACTTAATTTCTCGGAAGAGCTGATACACGTCGACCACGCAGCCAGAGGTGATTAGAATGCTCCTAATTTGCCTATTATGGTTATAATTAATTTCATTAATAGAAATATTTTGATTTACTCTAAGAAAGTATTCTTGATAGAATAATTAAAAAATTTAATATTTAAATGCATACATCTTCGAAGACGCACTTGATGCCGAGCCACGTGATAAAATTAATCCAAAGACTATCTTTTGGCATTAATTAGCTTTATTCATACAAAAATACTTTAGCATTATCAACGATGTGTAATTGTCTTCTGGCAGGAAATTAGAAATTAGAACAAGAAATTTGAACTTTAAAGAAAATGCATATTTTTGTCTAAAGGAAGTTAATCAATGCCAAAAGACGTCTTTACATTCACTTTATTGAATGTGTACTTTTTCTTTCATAAAATTTGAATTCATCAAGAAGAGCTTGGGAGGCAAGACGATGCAATTCTGAGATGTACTAAATTGATGTTGGTTAAATTACTTTTTAAATAGTTCTCTGCTGTCTGTTCAATATACTTGTACAACTCTATGCAGATGTTGTAATTGTATATATTGTATATCTCCAATTATTTTTACCAAGGCAAAGAAGTTAAGGTGTCATAACAAACATAATTTAAATTGAATCATTATAGGAGGTCTACCTGAAAAATTCCCAATTTTTTAAATTAACATGCCAACAGGTGCCATTGAGTGGACGACGATTATGTTGATTTTTAGTTGTAATAGAACACATATTTACGTAAAGCGAACAAGAACTGTTGTTGCTGTATAATTATGGAAATTTTACCAACTTTATGATCGTTAAAACATATTTGGTTATTATTTTAAATGTTTTGTTAGTAGGACTGCCAGATTTTGTGTGCCATTTAAATTGTTTTTTGTCTTGTACCATAATAATATTTAAGGGAATACAGTGGTGCCTCGAATAACGGACGCTGCGAACAACGGACTTTCCGTTTGACAGTTACATGAGGCGAACAAGTGCAAATGATGTTTTCACTCTTTTGCCGTTGCCAATGACAATCTGCTATTTTTATAATATATTAGCGTTATTAGAATATATTATTAGTATATCTAAAGTACAGAGCTCCTGTTGGGATTCGGCTTGCTCCCTTGTTTATTACCTATATCACCTCAGTGCAGTGTATTTACATTTATTCAAGTGTTGTGCAAATCATGACTTCTAAAAAAACAAAGGTGATTTCAATTTTAATAAAGCAAGAAATCATCAGAAGGAGTGAAAGTTCACAAAAACTTTCTTGTCGAATGGGGAGAGGTTCAGGAGTTTACCAACACTCATTATCCAGAGCTGAGGCCAACAGGATCAATGATCTCTACCCCATCATTTCCAACAGGTGTTCAAGAAGAGAGAGAAACAGACCACCTTGGACATGTTTTTCAATAAACCAGCAGGCAAAAAACAAAGGATGGAACAAGAGGAGTTGAACCTGCAAGCTCCAGTAGCCTCTCCTGAATCTGACTCTGATTAAAAAACAATAAAAAGAGACCTGCTGTAATATGTAACAAGTCTTATATCTGTATGAATGTGTGAAGAAAGTGTTCCTCCACCTCCTCCTCACAACATCTGACTACCCGGCATAATTGGTGACTGCTCCATTTTCATTTTTTTATGGTACGGAACGAATTATATGTTTTAACATGTATTTCTATAGGAAAATGTGTTTCGTATAATGGACTTTTCACTTAATGGACATGCACCTGGAATACGTTACACGAGGCACCACTGTATAATCAAATGGGCCATTTTATTAGTTCATTATAATATGTTAAGAACTTTTGAGATGGTTTTCATTGTTAATTTTGAAATTTGTTTGTTTTTGATACGATCGTAGTTATTGTCTGGTAAATCCTCAATTTAACAACTTATTTGGAGTGATCTCTGTTATTTTGAGTTGTTCATTAGCTCAAATAGACAGTATTGGACAGCTGGAAAATTCTGCACTAGTGCCATTTCTGCCAGTTTTAGTTTTGTATGCATTTTCAGGAACATGTTATGTCCAAAAAAATTACGATAAATAAAAATTACTTATTCGTGGCATTACAGATAATTTAAGTGATTTTAAAGTGTGTTTCATTATGGAAATTAATGAAGATATACCAACTTGGAAGCGTGAAATTTTTCCATTTAACTTGGCAGTCTATCGAATCAAAGACTTTTCAAGGATTTTATATTGCCATTACTATTATTAATCATTGATTTTTGTTGAAATTTTTTTCAGAAATTTAAACCGAAATGAATTTTTTTTAAGTATTGTTTATTTTGTAGTGAAAATATAAATTATAAAATTGTAAATGCTCTTATTGTGAAGAGTTAAAAATGAATAACGTGGCTTCCGGTTTTTACCAAAAGTTAGTATATAGTTAGTCGGGGCCTCTTGCCCCTAATCTTTCCATGTTTGGTCTTAGCTTTTGTCTATCTAACTGTTCTTGAGATTAAGGAAAGACAGACAGCCATGTGGACAACAATGAAAATTTATAGGTCTACAATTTTTTTAAATTGCAGCCCAACCAGAAAATTTTTTGTGCATTTTAGTGAGCGCACTGTTTTCAATTTGTAGCTGTTTTCGTGCCAGTTATTTACATGTAGAGTCTCTATAATATTTACAATAAGCTTAAGTTGAGATGTTCTTTTGCACATTCCTGATTGTTGTATAACAATGGTAGTTTTCAATGCATGATTCTTGAATACTATTTATTATTTTAACAGATATTTTGGTGATTTTAAAGCTTTGTTATATAGAAATTCTACTGTACACTTATGTTAATAATTGTAATTTAAACACATTTAACATTATTCGATTAATTGTTAGTCATAAAAGTAATATTTTGTCTTGTTCTTTGTACATGTATATAATTTTTTGTTTTTTCTTTTGAATTTCAGTTTCTCCCAATCAGCTGCAGACAAATCTCAACCACATTAAAAAGTCGATCAGGGAACTCGATACCGATTTGAAAAACTTCCGTCCGCAGAGTGAAAACGATAAATTTAGCGAAGTCATGACTGTATCCTTTATGCTAATGTTGTTGCTTAATGATCAATGTCAAATTCACTTCACTGCCTGCAAGCGATGGGGATAAATGCTTCAATCTTTCATTGCTTTTCCACGATGGCTAATTTTGTTGTATGTATGACTAAATGTCAATGAGTCTATCCTTAACAGACAAAATTATGACCTGGTGTTTGGTAAGTTGGTGCTTTTACGTTAACAGATTGATGTACATGGTGCTCAAAAGTTAATCGGCAAATATAAAAACTGGCATAATAAATAAATTTGCCAATTTTGTATATCAAATAAGTGATAGAGAAATGAAAATAAGGTATTTTATATAATAATCTGTATTAAGTTTTAAACCTGTAAATATAATTTACATTAACACAATAGTTCTGACTGGTTTAAAACAAAATAGCAGTTTTCTTGTGTACAGTAAAATTTACATTCTAAGAGGCTTATACCAAATATTTGAGCAGTGATTCAGAGAAATGAGATAGATAGCAATTGGGAGGATTGAGGTAAGTCAAAGTCTGAGTTAACTGAGTGGCTAAATGTTAATCATTCTATTGTAAACTATTTTTGGAGTTGTTTTCAAATGAGTCAAAGCCTCTCCAGAAGAATTTGAGGGCTGTATTGACAAGAAAGGATCATAACTTGCTCTTAAAGGCAAGATGTCAATGTAGAAGCTATTGTTGAGCTTTGTTACATCCACTCCCCCAGCAAACAGTGTTTAGAAAGCTTCTTCAAGTTACCTTTACACGAGTCAACTAGTCATTTGTGTCTTTTCTGTATCCTTCCAAAACAAAAAGCCAATAAGTTTGGTATCAAGACTATTGTGATTGGTCGAGATAATGTTTCCTTTGTTTCGGGAAGGATTTTAATAGATATCAGGCATCATTACTAGAACCCGAATTCCTGCATTTATCTATTTTTTGTAGCAAATTGGTAGCAAATTTTTTGTAAATTTGCTAAATTTACAAATTTTTTACAAATTTACAAATTTTTTGTAAATTTTTTGTAGCAAATTGGTAGCAAATTTTTTGTAGCAAATATTGCATCATGACTCGTTGCTGTCATGATGCAATATTAATAGACTACCAATCTTGCATTTGAATCAATATCTCAAAAGTAAAACTACTTTTTATGGATTGGCATTTCATCTGACATATCCTTCAAAATTTTATTTACAGCCGTATTTGCAGCTTGTTGAGTTTGTATTGCTGTCTGGAATAATTGCGAGCTTTATTGAGAGTATTTTATTGTTAAATTTGTGTGTGCCACTTGGATATAATTTGCATTAATGCAATACATTCTAATGCATTTAACATGTAAATTCTATTAAAATTTATTAAAGGATTATGCATTTCTTGTTTAGTAACTTGAGCATTGATGTACTGTACATTGAAGTTTTATTACATCCAAGTTTCATTTCAATAATGATAAATATCATTTTGTTAAGAACATCCAAAGACAAATTTGAAAGTTGTCAAGATTGTGTAATCTGATTTTATTGGTTGTGTAAATTTCAGAATAGTTTGTCCTTAGCGAGTCTCAGTCTTTTGTTTCCCAGGCATCAACACAGTATGAAGTCTTGCAAAATATGTTTAAGAAGATGGAAAAATTATACGAGGAACTGGCAGAATTCTTTGTGTTCGATACTAAGAAGTATTCACTGGATGATTTCTTTGGCGACATCAAAACTTTCAAAGACACTTTTCAGGTAATATAATTTGGTTGGACATACAATCTCTGCGAAACTACTGGTATAAATCAATATAATTAACCTCAACTAGACGTAAATACCAATAAACAGAATAAAACATTTGTTTTTGCTTTATTTCTTTTAATTTTATTGGTTTATTGGTATTTACATCTAGTTGAGGTTAATTACACTTTATTATACATTTTTCTATACTTGTTTTAATATTATTTTGTCTAAACAATTTTGAAATCATTTTATCAGAATTAACTTTTATAATAGATCTTTGAATGTATATTCTTCAATCTGATTTATTCAAGGTATTGTAATAAAGTACAATAGAGTGTCGTTTATTCAAAAGCCAATCAACTGAAAGCGTTCTAGTTGGACTGTGTCGTGCTGAATCGAATGTTTTAGATTAACTTCTAAAGTTTTTTTTTTTTTTTGTTTTTATATTTTTCAATATATTTATTTTGTTTGTATAAAATAAAGAAATAATTTTTAACAATACAATAGCCACGATTATTATTTAAAAAAATTTACGTTAAGCTTGCGAAAATTGACAAAAATGCAACACGAAATGACAAGCAATGGAGAAAAATTTTGGTACATAATCGGTTATCCGAAAAATAAGTTATCCAGTCACCCCATATTAAACAACCCAGTCCCCAATTGATTTGGATAAACGACACTCTACTGTACACTTATATATACTGTAAGCAAATAAAACTGAAGTAGAACATAAAGTTTAAAGCAATACAGTATCTTCCGAAATGAATGCTACCATTTTAAATTACTGTAATTATGTTAATTATTATATTAGAAATATGCAACATATACAAATCAATAGAGTAACCATTTGAGTTTCTTCCGTCTGCACTCAAATATCTTGTCATTTACTTACTACCTCTAGTAAGTACCATGAATAAAAATGGTGACTCCACAACAGATGAGGTGTTTTGTGTTCTGCATTTCACAAAGTTCAATGAATCATTTGTCATTGTGCAATATGAGTAATCTACAGGAGCCATAGAATTATGGCTGCTGTGAGGAATGACAATGGATATGCATAGCAAGCATAGGAAGAATTTGAGTATCAGTCAGATGTGTGCCGTTTGACACGAGGTACACATATTGAGAAATTATAATGTCAGATGTAAAAATTGGAAAGTTTTCCCATGTTTTAATGTACATCACAACATTCTTGGATAATAATTAACATAATTACAAATAATTTAAGATGGTAGAATTCTTTTTGGAAGACCCTGTATTACGAAAACATGCGTTCAATGCCATATCCTTATCTGATACATTGGGCATCAAAATTAGTTACACAACAAACAAAAGATATAGATTTGGTTTAGCATAAAAAAAATTTTCATTCTTTTTAACTTTGTTTATCATACAGTGTTGATTTCTAAAGAAAAATTAGTAAAAATACAATTTAAAGCACTAGTTATTCTGAAAAATGCATTTTACTTGGGTATTTTGATTAACTATGAACACAACTTTGTGTACATGTATACGGGGCAAACCATTTAAGTCGAGACACCGGAATAACCCTGAAACAAAACATCCAAGACAAAAATGTCATAAACAACAGTTATTTGATTGTAAAGGAGAAGGAAACTGCATTATTGATTTATTATCTTAGAGGTTAGTTAAAGGTCATTGGTTTTCTTTCCCCTTTACAACTGAACAACCGTTGTTTACATTTTTGTCTGGGGTGTTTTGTTTCTGGGATATTCCAGTGTCTCAACGGTTCATTCTGTATACAATACAGTGTATGCATGTCATATTGTCCTGATTAGGAAGAGGTGAAGTGAACTTATTATTTCTTTGGTTAAATTCTGTCTTAATATATACCCTCTCCTCTGTTATAGTATTGCATTTTTGTTATAAAGAAATCAGTATTTTAGTATATAGTAAACAGCACATTTTAATAAAGTTTATTATTTACATGCTGGTTTCTGTCTTAACCTCTTCTACAATTCTTTGCACTAACTTAAATGAGTTGTGGAGTTATGTATAACCTTGTGATGACAGAATCTAAATTTGTTGTAATTTTTTCGTAAAAAAAGGAAACAAAATTAGCAGTATTACAAATTGGTAAAAACTAGTTTTTTAGTTTTTACCAATTTGTATTACTGCTAAATTTGATACAAAATTGAATAAATACTTCACCAGACGAATGTCAAACAGCTGCACCTAACACCTGCGAGTGTGCAGCGACAATCCCACTCGTGGGTTTTGTTGCCGCATTTGCTTAAACAGTAATATATTTTTGCAGTTATAGAGTATATTATGTGTATTTTTTTTTTTTAACTCTAAATTAAATAATAAAGATGTAGGAGAATTTAAAATATTTCAAGTTAAAATTAATANGCACTTGATGCCGAGCCACGTGATAAAATTAATCCAAAGACTATCTTTTGGCATTAATTAGCTTTATTCATACAAAAATACTTTAGCATTATCAACGATGTGTAATTGTCTTCTGGCAGGAAATTAGAAATTAGAACAAGAAATTTGAACTTTAAAGAAAATGCATATTTTTGTCTAAAGGAAGTTAATCAATGCCAAAAGACGTCTTTACATTCATTTTATTGAATGTGTACTTTTTCTTGCATAAAATTTGAATTCATCAAGAAGAGCTTGGGAGGCAAGACGATGCAATTCTGAGATGTACTAAATTGATGTTGGTTAAATTACTTTTTAAATAGTTCTCTGCTGTCTGTTCAATATACTTGTACAACTCTATGCGGATGTTGTAATTGTATATATTGTATATCTCCAATTATTTTTACCAAGGCAAAGAAGTTAAGGTGTCATAACAAACATAATTTAAATTGAATCATTATAGGAGGTCTACCTGAAAAATTCCCAAATTTTTAAATTAACATGCCAACAGGTGCCATTGAGTGGACGACGATTATGTTGATTTTTAGTTGTAATAGAACACATATTTACGTAAAGCAAACAAGAACTGTTGTTGCTGTATAATTATGGAAATTTTACCAACTTTATGATCGTTAAAACATATTTGGTTATTATTTTAAATGTTTTGTTAGTAGGACTGCCAGATTTTGTGCGCCATTTAAATTGTTTTTTGTCTTGTACCATAATAATATTTAAGGGAATACAGTGGTGCCTCGAATAACGGACACTGCGAACAACGGACTTTCCGTTTGACAGTTACATGAGGCGAACAAGTGCAAATGATGTTTTCACTCTTTTGCCGTTGCCAATGACAATCTGCTATTTTTATAATATATTAGCGTTATTAGAATATATTATTAGTATATCTAAAGTACAGAGCTCCTGTTGGGATTCGGCTTGCTCCCTTGTTTATTACCTATATCACCTCAGTGCAGTGTATTTACATTTATTCAAGTGTTGTGCAAATCATGACTTCTAAAAAAACAAAGGTGATTTCAATTTTAATAAAGCAAGAAATCATCAGAAGGAGTGAAAGTTCACAAAAACTTTCTTGTCGAATGGGGAGAGGTTCAGGAGTTTACCAACACTCATTATCCAGAGCTGAGGCCAACAGGATCAATGATCTCTACCCCATCATTTCCAACAGGTGTTCAAGAAGAGAGAGAAACAGACCACCTTGGACATGTTTTTCAATAAACCAGCAGGCAAAAAACAAAGGATGGAACAAGAGGAGTTGAACCTGCAAGCTCCAGTAGCCTCTCCTGAATCTGACTCTGATTAAAAAACAATAAAAAGAGACCTGCTGTAATATGTAACAAGTCTTATATCTGTATGAATGTGTGAAGAAAGTGTTCCTCCACCTCCTCCTCACAACATCTGACTACCCGGCATAATTGGTGACTGCTCCATTTTCATTTTTTTATGGTACGGAACGAATTATATGTTTTAACATGTATTTCTATAGGAAAATGTGTTTCGTATAATGGACTTTTCACTTAATGGACATGCACCTGGAATACGTTACACGAGGCACCACTGTATAATCAAATGGGCCATTTTATTAGTTCATTATAATATGTTAAGAACTTTTGAGATGGTTTTCATTGTTAATTTTGAAATTTGTTTGTTTTTGATACGATCGTAGTTATTGTCTGGTAAATCCTCAATTTAACAACTTATTTGGAGTGATCTCTGTTATTTTGAGTTGTTCATTAGCTCAAATAGACAGTATTGGACAGCTGGAAAATTCTGCACTAGTGCCATTTCTGCCAGTTTTAGTTTTGTATGCATTTTCAGGAACATGTTATGTCCAAAAAAATTACGATAAATAAAAATTACTTATTCATGGCATTACAGATAATTTAAGTGATTTTAAAGTGTGTTTCATTATGGAAATTAATGAAGATATACCAACTTGGAAGCGTGAAATTTTTCCATTTAACTTGGCAGTCTATCGAATCAAAGACTTTTCAAGGATTTTATATTGCCATTACTATTATTATTAATTGATTTTTGTTGATATTTTTACAGAAATTTAAACCGAAATGAATTTTTTTTAAGTATTGTTTATTTTGTAGTGAAAATATAAATTATAAAATTGTAAATGCTCTTATTGTGAAGAGTTAAAAATGAATAACGTGGCTTCCGGTTTTTACCAAAAGTTAGTATATAGTTAGTCGGGGCCTCTTGCCCCTAATCTTTCCATGTTTGGTCTTAGCTTTTGTCTATCTAACTGTTCTTGAGATTAAGGAAAGACAGACAGCCATGTGGACAACAATGAAAATTTATAGGTCTACAATTTTTTTAAATTGCAGCCCAACCAGAAAATTTTTTGTGCATTTTAGTGAGCGCACTGTTTTCAATTTGTAGCTGTTTTCGTGCCAGTTATTTACATGTAGAGTCTCTATAATATTTACAATAAGCTTAAGTTGAGATGTTCTTTTGCACATTCCTGATTGTTGTATAACAATGGTAGTTTTCAATGCATGATTCTTGAATACTATTTATTATTTTAACAGATATTTTGGTGATTTGAAAGCTTTGTTATATAGAAATTCTACTGTACACTTATGTTAATAATT